TCTTGTAGGACACTCTTGTGGGACACTCTTGTGGGACACTCTTGTAGAACACTCTTGTGGGTCACTTGCAGGACACTCTTGTGGGACACTCTTACACGACACTCTTGTAGGACACTCTTGTGGGACATTCTTGTAGGACACTCTTGTAGGACACTCTTGTCGGAAACTCTTGTGGGACACTCTTGTGGGACACTCTTGTGGGACACTCTTATAGGACACTCTTGTGGGACACTCTTGTGGGACACTCTTGTAGGACACTCCTGTACGACACTCTTGTAGGACACTCTTGTGGGACACTCTGCGGGACACTCTTGTGGGACACTCTGTGGGACACTCTTCTAGGACACTCTTGTGGGACACTCTTGTAGGACACTCTTGTGGGATACTCCTGTAGGACACTCTTGTGGGACACTCTTATAGGACACTCTTGTGGGACACTCTTGTGGGACGCTCTTGTAGGACACTCTTGTGGGACACTCTTGTGGGACACTCTTGTGGGACACACTTGTGGGACACTCTTGTGAGCCACTTTTGTGGGACACTCTTGTGGGTCACTTGCAGGACACTCTTGTGAGACACTCTTAGGAAACTCTTGTGGGACACTCTTCTAGGACACTCTTGTGGGACACTCTTGTAGGACACTCTTGTGAGACACTCTTGTAGAACACTTGTGTGGGTCACTTGCAGGACACTCTTGTGGGACACTCTTACACGACACTCTTGTAGGACACTCTTGTGCGACACTCTTACACGACACTCTTGTAGGAAACTCTTGTGGGACACTCTTGTGGGACACTCTTGTGGGACACTCTTATAGGACACTCTTGTGGGACACTCTTGTGGCACACTCTTGTAGGACACTCTTGTAGGACACTCGTGTGGGTCACTCTTGCAGGAAACTCTTGTGGGACACTCTTGTAGGACACTCTTGTGGGACACTCTGTGGGACACTCTTGTGGGACACTCTTGTGGGACACTCTTAGGAAACTCTTGTGGGACACTCTTCTAGGACACTCTTGTGGGACACTCTTGTGGGACACTCTTGTAGGACACTCTTGTGGGATACTCGTGTAGAACACTCTTAAGGGACACTCTTGTGAGACACTCTTGAGCGACACTATTGCGGGACACTCTTGTGGGACACTCTTGTGGCACACTCTTGTGGGACACTCTTGTAGAACACTCTTGTGGGACAGTCTTGTAGGACACTCTTGTGGGACACTCTTGTGGGACACTCTTGTGGGACACTCTTGTGGGACACTCTTGTAGGACACTCTTGTAGGACACTCTTGTGGGACACTCTTGTGGGACACTCTTGTGGGACACTCTTGTGTGACACTCTTGTAGGAAACTCTTGTGGGACACTCTTGTGGGACACTCTTGTGGGACACTCTTATAGGACACTCTTGTAGGACACTCTTGTGGGTCACTCTTGTAGGAGACTCTTGTGGGACACTCTTGTGGGACACTCTGTGGGACACTCTTGTGGGAAACTCTTGTGGGACACTCTTGTAGGACACTCTTGTGGGATACTCCTGTAGGACACTCTTAAGGGACACTCTTGTGAGACACTCTAGTGGGACACTGTTGCGGGACACTCTTGTGGGACTCTCTTCCAGCTCCCCAGATACTCCGCGTACTAAATGTACTACAAGGTCGCCAGTTCTCAGCTTCCAGCTCCACAGATTGCTCCGCGTACTCAAGTTGTACTACAAAGTCGCCAGTTCTCAGCTTCCAGCTCCACAGATTGCTCCGCGTACTAAAGTTGTACTACCAAGTCACCAGTTCTCATCTTCCAGCTCCCTAGATACCCCGCGTACTAAAGTTGCACTACAAAGTCGCCAGTGCTCGCCTGCATTTCGCGCGCTCGACACGCACGGTCTCCGCAGAGGGTTGCGCGGGCACCGGACAAATCGCACTCTCGCCTGCATTTCGCGCACTCGACACGCACGATCTCCGCAGAGGGTTGCGCGCGCATGGGACAAATCGCGCTCTCGCCTGCATTTCGCGCACTCGACACGCACGATCTCCGCAGAGGGTTGCGCGCGCATGGGACAAATCGCACTCTCGCCTGCATTTCGCACACTCGACACGCACGATCTCTGCAGAGGGTTGCGCGTCAAGTCTCCAAAACGAGCGTTTCGTACTTGCAAAAGCTTCCCCCAATGGCAGCAAATTTGAGACGCGACGACGACGAGAGACGACGAGAGACGACGACAAACGACGACACGACGCAAGCCATGCAAACACAGCTCCAACCCCCAGACCCCCAACTATAAACGGGAACCCTTCGCTACGCATTCAAAAACACATACACATACACACAACAACAACAACAACAACAACCACAACCAAAAAGGCACCGGGTAAACAGCCTGCCACCCACCCGTCAGCATTCTCACGTCGCGTTTTCCACGCCACGCGATGAGGGGCTGGTCTTGTTCCAAGGGGCAGCACACTCTGCCGCTGATCGGACCGGAAACTTCGTCCAGTTCTCGGCAGCCTCCAATGCCCTGCAGACGGAGTACGCGGCAAGGGGGGCTGAGTGCAGCCTGCGGCTGGTGAGCTAGGCTTCAAGTGGTGAAAAACCTGGGAACCTGGGCAGTGTGGCCTTGAACCCTTACTTGAACCTTCCTCTGACCCTGACTCTGATTGTTTCATAGTCAGAAAGAACAAACATGTCGACATCTTACACAAGCCTCCAGCCTTGAAGCCAGGCAAATCTCAAGTTACAAGATAGTTACAAGAAGAACAGGAAAGCTGCAGCCCTTAGATCCCCGTGTGATATCTCGAAGAGAACTTGGCCCCCCAATCGCAATCAATCACATGGGTCGCAATGAAAATCAACTCATCATGCGGGCTCTTGGACCCTCAGCCCTCAGCACCCGGGCCTCTTGTTGACGATCATACCTCAGCTGCGGGCTCTGTGCTTCTCCAGATCTCTAACGCCCGACTTCCACATCCGTGCGGTTCCAGGCTGAGGTGTTAAATGATGTTCAATGCCTGTACTGCAAACGGTTGGCGAGTACTGCACTATCTAGGTGTCAATGCACCCAAGCAGTTCAAATGAAGAACAAGCTTGTTGATACCTGTACTGCAGGTGCCTTGTAGTTGTTGGAGGCGTGGAGGCATGTTAACCGTCTTGTACCATCCGCTAACTGGGGTGGATCATCACTCTCACTCCGCTCTCAGTGGTGGAGTTGCCTCACTGATCCAAGCAAAATCCACTGAAATCCTGCAACCAAGGGCTTCTAAGGGTATCTCATGTTCGAAGCGAAGATCCACCACTTTGACATGGCAGACCTTTCGCTCCTCACGTTGGAGAATAACAATTCCAAGTTGTATATTCCATATGATTGAGGTAGACTCTTGATCTTGATGAACAAAAACCGCCTGAAGAGGTTGTTCAATATCAACGGGCTTATGAATCAAGAGTCTACATTGACATGACTAGTGAATATACTGGGACACAACAAGACTGGTCAAATCCATTGGACCATCGATCTCTTTGAGATCTTCACCCCAGGTGGTCGCCCACCACAACCAACCACCGCTCACGCGGAACAGTTCCGTCGCCGCGTTCAGTTCTTCTGCCCCCGTCGACCGACCTTGCCCGGCTGGAGGTCCCGGCCCAGGTCTTTCAAGACGCCGGTGTTCACAGAACATCTGCCCATAATGACCTCAGTCATCCAGAAACGTCACCCAGACCACCGAAAAGGTGTGGGACATCCACCGTGTGGGGCATTCTTCTGGATTGCTGAGGAGCTGTTTTGGAGCATCTGTCCATTCAAAAAAAAAGAAACACGCTTTGCAACCAAACCATGAATCAAACACTGCCCCAGTTTTTGGGAAAGTTTTTGGGGCTGGAAGGTTTGTTTAAAGGGAGCGACGAGATAAAACAGTGAGCACGGACTGCATTCCCAGTGTTCCAAACTTTTCTGAGGTCTGACCGATAAAGGTGCAGTACAGTGGTTTCAGAGGACTGACTGAGCACGTTTCCACCACCAAACTTGGGGTAGCTTGCCTTGTGCTATCTACTCTCAATCCACCAATCCACTACAGTATATGTGATCGAACACATCTGGAAAATGGTTCTTCCCACGTGTCTTCGCGCGTTGGGGCGCATTTTTGTGAGGGACCACTTCTTGAAGTTGCCACTTCCGACTTCAAGAACTATACAGGCAGAACCATACAGGCAGACAGGCACCTACAATTAGACCTATTGTTTTGTTGCATTGTTTTTTCTTAAAACACCTACTGTCCTGCAGCTGTTGGGAGGTCCAACATGGCTCAACTAGCGACGAGGTCCAGGCAGGGAGACTGGGTGTTTCCATCACGTCAGTAGGTTGGAGGCCATCTACTAGGGTGGAGGCCATCTACCTAGGTAGGTTCTCTTTCTCCACAGCTCTCCTGCACCGCGCGCTGTCCTTCTTTCCCACGCGTGTTTCGTGCGGAGGGCCTTAAAATGACATCTTGAGACCCTGGCCCAAAGAAGGCTGTTGATGATCACAGACAGCGCGGCACTATTTACAGCTTGATGCCCTTGTGCATAGACACACACCTGAGAGAAAGAACACGACTGGCAGAGGAAGAGTCGGGTTTAGATCAGCAGAAGGTTTCAAGTGCTCAGATGTAACGTCTTCCTCCTCAATCAAAAAATATATGTCTTAAATCGTCTTAAATGAATGTCTGAGGGGGACCATATAGACCATATGTATTTATATTTATATACTTATACAACATATGCCAAACCGACGCGCTGTTCAAATCCGTCTTCCGATCTGAGTGGAGTCCGGTCTATGTGGTCTTTCCGAGTGACGGACATGCCTGTCCAGCCCGAGGTGAGTCACTCTCGGAAGCGAACATGGACTCTGAGAATGACACCGAAAAAGACATGTTTTTTCCTCTACAAACATCTACAAACCTAAGTGGTTTTCCGAGGTCCATGTGTTTCTCTTCAGCGGGGTGCGGTGTACACCTCACACCGAGCCCACCCTGCGGCCAAGGAGCAAAGACCATGAAACTCAAATAGCCCAGAATCACCGGACGGACACTGGTGTCCATCTGCTGTGAATCATCTGCCTCTCCCGCAGTGGGATTCTTCGTGGCTCGGCAGGGGTTTCTGAAGGGTCTTCCGTGGCGTGGCATGAGACACTGCATTCCATGGACACTCAGGTAGTTCGTTCATGCAAATGCATGGAATACACACAGCTTCGATGAACCACAATGGATAGGTGTGAATCAAGTATCCGACATGGCAAGAAAAAGACACCACCAAGCAAACAACGAGGAATAACCATGTGTTCCTCTCACCCTGAGGGTCACCACCTCTCCTTTCGAAAGGCCTTCCGTTTGACGCCAACGCAGCCCATGGGAAACAGAGCCCCTTAGCGCCGGTCCGCATCCCTCGGTCCCGGCTTGAAACCCCAGCTGTTCCGTCTGTAGCACGTCTCCGCACGTCTTCGGAGTTTCCGCATGTTCTCCGCAACAAAAGTCGGACGCGTCCCTCGTTCTTCCCAACCAGGAACGTCCCGGCGCCTGGACCTCGAAGTTGATACCATGCGCAAAGACTTCCTGGAAAGCGAGTCGAGGGAAAGGGCGGGTGCGCGGTGCGCGTCCGTTGCGAACAGACCGAGACGGTTCGTGGAAGAGCTGCTTAGGGACGATCCGTCAGACGAGGAAGATCCTCACAACCTGACATGGAAAAAAGCATGCACATCTGAGGAACTTGGAACTGCAGGGTGGTTTCGGCTGCATCAGAGAGGACGTAGGTTTACTATCTAGGGTCTGACTGGAGTCCTCTGCACAGTACGCGTTACAGTATATGGGTTGGCGCGCGGTAGATGAAACCAAAAAACATAGCGTTCCAATAATTGTTTATTGTGGTCTTGAAATGTGCATACAAAACTTGTTCCTAAGAGATGTTTGATGATGTTTGTGTATGTCAACTCCCTTTTCAACAAACACTCAACGCCTCATCCATATCTATGCTCACAAAGAAGAAACAACATGAACAACCTTTGATGCAAGTTCCCTGAGTCTTTGTGCGGCTTGTTCTTCCCGGTGTTTCAGTTTCCGGATGTTTCTCTGCTTCCTTCCAATTCCATCCATGCTTGGACCGACCTGAACAAGCCCCCAAGCACCAAATCGATCCGGCGATCCCGATCCAGAACCCCCCATTGAACGTCGAGCTTCGCTTGCGATGACAATGGACATCCCCGAGAGGAACCCCGTCTGGAGTGCAAAGAGTGCATCACCTGAGCAGCGTGGCTAAAAGGGCGTGCAGTGGCGGTGAGCGTCCTAAAAAACATCTGCGGGAGGTTTGGAGGCAAAGCTTTTTGCTGTCAAATCATCATGAAAGTGGATGGCACCACCTATTTGGTTTTGGTAGTTGAACAATTAATTAACATTCTCGTCCAAGTGCGCCATCCACTACCATGAATGCAGTGTCTCCTTTCTTTGTTCCCATACTTTGTGGCCTTCATCAAGCATCGCTTGCAGTTGCTGGTCTACAGCAGTGAGTGCAGGTGAAATACTGTATCTGGAACTGAACATGTTCCCTGGAAAAAGGATTAACCAATATAAACCAATGCATCTTCTGCATGGTAGAAATATGATATAAAATGATGAAATGTATCAGGCCACACCCACTGATATCCATGAAAAACAGCTTTGCCTTTCAAACCACCACCTTGACCATACCTCCACTGGCCGGACCGCTCCTGCGGTGAACCCCTCTGATCTCCCTCCCACTCGTTCCGGTGATCCGTTCCACTCGTTCCGGGCGTCCGGGCCATGGAGCTCGTAAACGCCCCAAACGACGGCGGTGAAGAAGGTCGATTCCTCAGTCGACCGCCGGAACCGCCGCAGCTCAGCCGCAGCTCGAAGCGGCTGTGCCGTGTCGCGAGTCGCGAATCGCGGTGGGTTTTGGGGGAGGCCGAACACGGTGTGGTCGAAACAGATCGGCTGTGTGGGGTCACCAGGTCCCCCACAAAACCCGAAAAAACAGGGGGAGATCCAGATGATAAGGGCCGTTTTGCGGGCGCTGACCGGCTGCCAAACACTGGATTCAAAGCAACTGGGTTGATTTTGGGCACTTAGCGAAACTGGGAAGATAGATTAGGGGAAGATTTACCCATAAAATAGGCAGGGAGTTTACATATATATATATATTACTATTCTATCTATAGAATCTATACTACGAGTACATATTCAAATTCGAACCTGCTGAGACCCACCAGGGGCGCCACAGTACTCACTCGAATCGCTCACGCCCCCGCCCAGGTCGCACGTTCTATTTGGCCCATCTGAGTTCCGGCACCAGGGCGGACCGCGCAGGGTTCTGTCTCCAATTCTCTGGCGTGTTCAGGATCCGGGCCTCCGCCGCCGCTGCGTTCCGGCCGTTGTCACGCGACGCTTTGGACGCGGCGTTCTTCCGGGAGGTCTGGAAGCTCTCAACCTTGGCGTTCTGGAAAGCTCTTGGAAAGTCCCTGTTCAGTTGAGCCCTTTGACATCCTTTGACTTTCTTTATCCAGGTTCTTCAAAGACGAAGTCGCAGAACCATCGCAAAAATACGATGAACGATGGCTGAAACGGCTGTTGCTTGTGACTGTTGCCGAGGCCCACTGGACCCGTAATGCAGCATCACACCCAGTGAAACGCAACCAACCCAACCATATAGACCGTTGTTCTGTTTGTTCATCCACAAAAAGCAGCCAGAAAAGGATCCAAAAGGCTAATGATGGCTAATGCGTTAATTTGTGTTTCCTATAGTTGGAAGATCCTGTGCACATGTTACATCATGTTACTATATATCTGCACCAAACATTTTGTAGCTAGACTTTTTCGCTCTGTTGAGACGTTTACCACAGGCATTCGGTCGAATCCGCTTTCGGTCGATGCGCCGAAAGCGAAGAAGAAAAAGCGGTGGTCCATTCTGGTGGATTCGGTCGGAAGTCAACTCCCAAAACCCCAGACTGTAGATTCTTGATCTCTCTTGATTCATAAACCCTCCATTTGGGATTCTATATGAAGCCATAAAACGCCCCTTCATTTTTGGGTGGTTTATGGATTCGAGTCGAGTCGACTCATGACCTCTCTTCTCCGGCGCCTGCAAGATCGTTCCCAGGTGCCGGGTCGGCTTCCATGCCTGAGGGCCAGAGGAAGAGGTGCGGTGAGCGCCGCTGGGTCCACCGGTGCCGGCGGTAGAACACCGATGTCTTTTGTCCCGCTTTTTGGTGCAATCATTGAAGCGTCACAAGAGACGCACGCTTTCTGAGGCAGTGATTTCATTGGGTGTTTAGAGTTCCCGGTGCGGATGTGTGAGGATGAAACCTTGAAAAAACACAAACACCTCCCTCTGAAGTGGCAAAGCAGAAACTGAAAAGAGATCTGATTCTCACCTAGCCAATCTGGATGACACGTTGTTCTACATGATATGATCCTAATATATCCTAATGAATTATATATGCTGCTAGGCAATACCACGGCCACGTGAAGTAAAAACCACCTGTTTGGTCAGATTTCGTCTAACATCCAGCTGGTTGTTCCCATCCTAACCTGGAAGACGTGGGAGGGAGTGTATGGACCATCCTGTCTGGGTGTGTCTGGACATCTCTAAGTAGTCATTTTCTTGGACACAAACCGGATGGTCCTGGTTTTCTTTCTACCTTCAGAGTAGATGGCACAGACCTCAAGAGATGTCCTTTACATGGAGGTTCATTATAAACCACCTCTTGGGGTCTGTGCCATCTACTCTCAATCCACTATACTTCTTAGTGCCTTCGACCTTCGCCTTCCACCTTCACCCGCCTGGCATAGTCTCGCGGCCACCAGGATCGTCGAGCCACCCAGCACCTGCAACGTTCGCTTCGATTCGTCGGTCGTTCCACGGTTTGGGGGGGACCAACAGTGGCGGTTCCAGGCGCAGGGTCTGGGGATGTCTGGGGGTCTTCTTGGATCTGCAGAAGGCAACGAAAGGAAACGATGTCAAGGATATGTCAAGAAACTGTCTATCTTCCCCCAAGAGTAGTATATTTCAAGGGACCGGTTCCTTTTTTCAAGTGCACTGGCCTTCAACAGAGCTGGAGCCGAGATCACCAACTCCTCGTTCCAAAACATCAGCAAGACACCCCCCAAATCCCCTGCGCACCAGCATGCTGGCGAGGACCATGAGATCGCTACCTGGAGGCCGGCGAATCCGATCGAGGCGCGAGTGCACCAGTCCCGGCCGGTGCGGTTGGTGGGGCGTGGTGCGAATCCAACGTGATGTGCACCAGTTAACCCAAACACTTCAGAATATATGTCATTATGAGCGGATCAGTTGGGGTGTTTTGGGGGTTAATTCTGCAAGGCTCCAAAGGATTTGGACACGTTGATATGCTGGCTGCCAATCTGCGGAGTTGCACTGGATTTGGATTCTTTTTCTGTCAAACGAAGTGTGACATGTGAGTTGTCCAACATTCGATCAGGATTCTCTTCTCCAGCTTCGTTTGAAGGTTCCTGACCTTCATTGTCGCTCGCTTCCTCCAGGCGACTCTCCAGGCTACAGTACTCGCCAGGGAACAGTTCTCGTAGATGGTGCTCAACGCTGTAGGTCCGAACAAGACTAGCAAGACGATGTTCCCGCTGGCAAAGGTATCTTCCTGGCCGGTGCAACTGATGCGACCGGCTTCTAAAAAAGCCGGCAGCCTAAACTTGGGAGCAAGTGGTTGCGGACATTGTTGCCTCCATCATATATCGTTTATATCCGACACTATAAGCCTTTCATTTCTGGCCTCACAATGCATTCAAAAGTATGTTCATACCGATGACCCCGAGGTCTTCCTCGTTCGGAACCTCAGATTCCACCGGATGTCCTGCACGGTTTCGACTTGATCCCTTCTAACCACTGTGACGTTTAACATCATTTAACCATGTTCACCTTCCAGGAATTCCCCGATCTTCAGGGATCTTCAGGGATCTCCTTTTGGGAACGATCCGCAACATCTTTGTGATCTCAAAGGTCTAAAGATGTCTGAAGCTAAGCGAAGGCCTCTAATGGTTGGACCCTCCTGGTGGATTGTTTTGAGATCTCTTCATGAACACATGAGGTCTCACATGGCCTCCGGTGCTGGAAGTGGCACCATCCGGTGACCTAAAAGAAATAGTCCTTACTTCGGTGCCTTCGCCTCCTGCAATCGCCTTCACAAGTGAAATCAACTGCTCGACCATTAGAGGAGCAGCTCACCAACAGCTCACCAACCTCCCCAACAAGTGAAGCAGTTCCACTGGAGCCATGTGTTGGGTCACTCAGCAATGTCAACCCTGTGTGACCCAATGATGCACATGTCAACCCTGCCCACAGGCCCACACATCGACTGTCTTGTCGTTAATGCAGTTGAAACCTAATGTCACCAATGCTTTGAAGGGAGAATACGAAAACATGCAAGCCACTGATTCGATGATGATGGTGATGATGATGATGATGGATTAATATGGAATAATCCGATAATCCAAACCATGAAATCGGATGAGTTTGAGAAGGAAGCAAACGCCCTTTTTGGAAACCAAGCCTTGGGAAAGCAAACATCAGGTAAACACAGAATCGAACTTACACTTAGAAGGATCTCCATATGGACGTAGAAGGGTCTCTCCCTGTTCTCGCCAAAGGACCGCACGACCAGTCTTCGGTCGCATGCACTTCGCACGGAACCGTGGTCTTCCGTGGTCGTCGTACGCTCGATTCGTGCACTGTTTTTTGCATATAGTGGAATTGAGAGGACCAATGGCACAGACCCCAAGAGGTGGTTTATATGGACCCCCATCTTTTCAGGACATCATGGGGTCTATACGAAGGAAACCGCTGTACATCCGTTGATGAATCGACCAGCCCCGCCTCCAGTTGGCGCGCTCGTGCGCGCTTGGCGGAGGTCTCTCGCAAGACCCTGGGAGGGCCAAATGGGTGTCTGTCGATGGTTGGTCAGGGGGAAGGAAGGCTTGCCATCCCAACACTCCATGCCTGGACCATCCATGCCTGGGTGTCGGGTGTCCTGTCTGGACATCTCTTCAGATGTGTAGGAGTGGTGTTCGGATTCAGATGTGTAGGAGTGGTTCGGGTTGTCCTGGATTCGATGGTCCGATTGGTGGTCCTGGTGTATGTCAGATTTGTCGATCAGGACATGGATGATTTGCGGGGTCAATTTGTACAAACACTCCATACTCCAGGAGTGTCTGGGATGCTGAGCTGTGCTCGGTCCATGTGACACCCCACTGAATGAGTCGGCCTTCGCTGTCTTCCACGCATCTCTCCAGGGCATCACCCTCTATGGCCCCGCCCACGCGTCACCGCGTGCCGGTCCCGGTCACCTCGCGGGTGCGTGCCCGAGTCGGTGCCGCCTCTCGAGGTTCCGCAGCGGCTGCTGGAGCAGCTCTCCGAGCACCACCAGTGCGGCGCCTGGTTTCCGCCGACGCCGATGGGTTTGTGGAGAAGAACCGGGGCCTTGTCGGTGGAGGCCGTGGAGCTGGGGGGTGCGAACCAGAAAAAGAGGCATTTGGATGGAGCAAGGATGAGCATGCGGGATCATCTTATCTGGGTGGTGTGCTCACTCTGGGGATCTTCTCTTGCCCTAAACTTATGAACAACTGCAAGTCAGTTTGCAAAATATATTCCACACATCACATGTACATACTATACATCCTAGATCCTCCTGCTGCTTCTCATGAAAGCTGTTGTTAGCAATACCTCGGATCACAACTGAGACTCAGTCAATTAAGTTCTCCGTTGTGTATGCTCTTTCAAGTGCCCTAAATCCCATCTCTGACTCCGTCGTTTTCTGCGTGGCGCTCGCCAGCGACGCTTCGACTAAGGCTGGGAACTCTTTTGGATCCGTCAAAAGTGGCCTCAAGAGATGCTAGAAGGCCGGGCAATTGAAGTTCAGGCTTGACGAGAGGTTGTTACTCTGCACAGGAACCGTTTGCATCACTAAGACATTGCTCAACCACCACGGAATCAGTGCAAGCCAATTGCTCCAGGCAGCAACGGTTTGATTCTCCACCCAGGCCTTGTGCTGGCTGAAGCATGTCCCCGCCGCTATTGGAGTATTGGGATCCGTGGGCGGGATGCAGCTCCCTGACACACAGCTGATCGCTGACGCAGAGAAGGCCCAAGAGCAGCTCGTCCAAGTGTCTTTGAAATCGCCGCTCCACAAGGCGCACAGACCGGGCTCAAGCCCTCCACATTGTGCATAGCTGGTTTTGAGGGTTTGTGAGAAAGTGGCCATCCGAGCCTTGAAGGCTTGAGTGGCAGCTTGATACACACTCTGGGCGTAGCATGTGGTGATGGTCTGGAAGACGTATTTGTCACCTGCCGTTCGGTAAGTGGGATAGCTCAGCAAGTTGTTCATCACACCCACGTGCAATGTCGCAAAGCGAGCTAAATAGGCGCCGGCCGTGGTGTTGATGGCATAGCCAGTCATGAACAAATTGATGTCACCGATCATGGCATTGTGGACGGCACCCAGGTCGGTATACCTCAATCGACGCCACGTGGTGTGGCGTGGCATCATGCACCCAAAGCGACCCCGCACCATTCAAATCCCAACATGAGGTTTAACCAGCAGTCACAAAGGGGTGGTGTTTGGTCCCTAAGTGAGTGGATAATGGGCACTCCGAACCTCCATTAAGCACCCCTTTGTGACTGCTGGAAGATGGTTTAAGCTAGCATGTTTAAGCTAACTCCAAAACTCACTGACTCCGAATTCGGATCTGGGTGACCGTCGACCCCTCCAACAGTTCCGCTTGGAGGCTGAAATCAAAACCTGAGTGTTGCTGAGGCGCATCCGGTCTCTGGTGATGTTCGACATCGATTGCACGGTTCCATTGGGATAATGTGCTGAGTTTTTGTAAGCCGTGGCATTCAATGTCCACAACCTCAACTGGTAGCCCTGGATGGTCTTGGTCCACAAGCTTTCAAAAGCTTTATCAATCTGTTGAGCCACAAAGCTTTGCACAAAAGGCATGATTTGTTGCCACACACACTTGCCCCAGTCTGATGTGGCATAGGTGCAGGGATTGCTTGGAAGGCCCCCAGCACTTGGGAAGAAGTTGTTCAAGATATTGCCAATGAGCCCAAACGCAATAGATCCCTTAAGAGCAATGATCCCCGCACTCTTCAAGACCTCTTTCAGGGTATCGACAGCGGTCCTTGCCACTGTTTTCTCCCCCTGATTGGCATACTTCACGCCGGGATTTTGTTGTTCATAGGTCACTACGTCTATGGCGCATTGTTGCGCTGCAGGGCAAGTAAAGCTCCCTTCCTCGCGATCCTGTCGCTGCCTCGAAGCCCCGTCCTCGTGCTTGTCCTGCTGCTTGTCCGTTTGTAGGAGGACGGTGGTCGGCTCCGTCGGTGCAGCACCTTGACAAACCTGTTGCAGCTGGACCTGGATGTCCTTCAGCTGCTGATATGACGAAACCGGCCAATCTACTTCTATCTGTGTGGCCATGCTACAAGCAAGTTGTTGTGCTTGGCAACCTACATCACTGGCACCACAGGTGGACTGCGACTGCGAGTCCCTTGAAAACTGTAGCCAACTTGTCGCATCCTCATGCCGTTCGGCGACAGCGGCCCAAACACACCAGCTTAAAACTGCCACGTGCCGGGCCCGCGCACACATGGCAGGGCAGGGGCGCAGTGAGCGGGCACGCCCAAAAGCAACCAGCTCTATTGAACTCTGGGCCTCAGCGATTAAGGTGGGAAGTGCTACAAAGCCTCCCAAGTAACCGTATGCGAAACACTGTCCGATATTTGACTAATCTTGATTTATACTTCATGCATCTTCATCTAGAATTCTACTACATTCTGTTTCCCCCCCGAGATGACCACCTCCCCCACTAGCCATGCCGCCCGTGCACCCGTCTCTCCTCCTCCCGGGCCGTGTGCGCGCCGGTGCACTGCGCCCGCGCGCGTCGCGGCGTCGCCGGCGCCTGCAGCGGTGCCCAGCGTCAAGGCGGCGACGAGCCCGAAGCACCCGCCCTCCGTGCCGACCTCGGTCCGTCGTGGGCGCAGGGGCGGGCGGGCGGGTGGGCGTCGAGCTCGAGCGCCAAGTGACCTGACCCAAAAACCTCAACAAAAAGAAACACGTTAACATTTCACACGGATTCACACGGTACATTTCATATCAGGTCACGGTCTTTTCTTTCACCGTGTCATACCGTGCACCTGGATCCAATCGTCATCCAACCGGACCGCTGTGTTTTGGTGTATTTGGGGTGTATTTTGGGAGGGAACGTTTGACGCTTCAATGGAGATGAGATATGTCTCGTGTGATGTTTCCATGTTTCGCACTCTTCCAGTGTTTCGCACCCCCCCTTGACTCAAGGGAAACAGCAAGAACTGGCAACAAGAAACCTGGTGAATGAAACCTGGGCACCATATGACATCTCCCATTTCAGACATGTCGAAATCGAACACATGCGAAACATGCGAACAAGCTACCATCCCCGATCTCCCTGGCCATCAAGCGAGCTGAAGCTCAGGTCTCCGGACATAGGTAGACCAAACCACCAAGAGCCAAATGGACACTTCGCAGAAACTTCTCAAGGTGTCCAGCCTCGGGGCCGTGGGGCCCCCGGTTTGCACCAAAGGGAAGGCCATCTAAGACGTGGGACACAACACCTATAGCAGTTTTTCATACACCAAGGAAAAGTATGGAAAAGTAACTAGAAACAGGATGAAGCTGTTCTTTGGACTCGCAGTTTGCTTGTTTTCACAGAGCAAGTATAAGACCTGACTCAGGGTGGAAAGAGTCTTCCACGCGCCGACCATGCAGGCTGCACACCGTGCTAAGGAACATGTGGCGTACAAATTGAAAGTGTTTGGCCATGTTTGGCCTTAAGATGCCTTAAGTGATGCTTCGTTCAACTATCTCCAACTGCCGCTACAAACAGGCATCCAATATTAGTGTAGTATTGTGCATAACTAGTAATTATGCATGATTCTGGGTCTATTGCTATACAAAAACATACTACAGAAGCCTATACACATGGTGTATGCGGCCTTGGACCTCCCTCTGAGCTCCTGGCTCCCAGTTTTGCCGCGCGTTCAGCACGCGTGCCACCAACATCTTTCCTCCGAGGCGACCACGATCGTCGTCACGGAATGGACCATTCTGGGACCCAACGAGTCCATTTTCTCGAAAGGTGCACTCTGACTGACATAGAAGTGGAAAACCTCCGGTTTGTTTCCAGCAAAGTCGTCTTCCTAAGAGACCACACATTCACGCATTCACAAGTCCATGTTCCGCTTTCACGGCTCAGCATGGACATGAGAAGTGACGATCTTCTGGCTTGAATTTCATCAACGCTATAAGAATCCACCTTGGGCTCTCCATGGCAGGGGTCCATGTTCCAAACCAAATCAAGCGTGTGTTGAGTCCATTGTCCGCCTGAGAAAGAAAGTGGATCTCCGACTGATTTATCCGACGGGTACCAGCTGTGTTTTTGGGACCAGGTCGATCGTAAGTTGGAGCCACACTCTGGGGCTCCGTGCCAAGTCGGTTGGTGAGGGGAGTTTTCTGAAGCAAAGGTCCACAAACCACCTGAGTCACAAAAAAGTGTCGATATGATTCATGGACCGTGACTTTTGATGGTTTTTTGCGCAACACAAAACACCCATGCCCTGAGGTTCAACAATGTTCAACATCTGAATCTGAAAGTCACCTACCCTACTCACTTTGAAAGAGATGAGCACATGAGATGAGAAACCTCCGCACCTCAATGCTGCAGTGGAAGCGATTCTTGGGGTTCACTTCACCGGAGAAGCCTTTTTGATGGCGCGCCAACCGCCCCATCGAACCCGCCTCTCCATGGCGGAAGAACCCCCCGGTTTAGGAGGTCGAATCGGTCAAAAGGACCGCTGTGAAGGAATGGCTGGGATCAACCAAATAGTCTGTCGACATAGCCATTCCTTCCGTAACCGGGATCAATCTACTTCGTCAGTATAAGCTGAAGTCTAATCCTCAGTGCCTAGGAATGGCGACCGATCTGTTTCGGGATAGAGGTGAAGAGCGACCGGTCGTCCCGACCCATCGTCCCGGGCGTCGACACCGGAGCTGACTTCGCCTGGTCCTATACGGGCGGAGAGCCCCCGCCTTGTGGCCCCACACATGACCTGACACAGCGCCACCATGTCACCCGCCAAACGTGTGGCCCGAAGCCCGGGGGGCCCGGGCATAGCTCAAGGACGCCAGGGCCGCGAGCGTCAACGCGGTCTTGCGCGAAATGGAGATGCAGCCTCGGTCGGGCTCGGCACCGGTGTCCGGTTCCGGTCACCGGACATTCGTGGCTCCCAAAAGCAGAGCCTGGAGGTTCATGGCTGATTAGCCTTCCAGCACCACCCAAAGGGTGGGTTATTAGATGGAAAAAACATCTTCATGGGGGTCTTTAAACCACCCGAACTGGGTGGTGCTGGTTGATAACTCTTGATAGATTATACACCCGGCCTGGGCCACAAGAGAAGTACATGGCGTTGAAAAAACCACATGAGGAGTTTTTGCTGATCAAGAGTCAAGAGTCTAGAAGATAGAAAGTTGAACACATGGGAGCCTCTTTTCGGGTCAGACTCGATCATGGAAGTGGATTTCAGAATCAGCTGAAAGACACACCAACCTGGCGGACTATCCATGCTATCCATGCTTCTATAGCTCATGAAAGCTCTAGTCTATGGCTTCATTTGGGTTCCAGGAGTTCTCAGCATCTGGGTCCAAGAACGAGGTGCCATAAGAGGTCCGAACAGATTTGAAAGGACTTGATGACTTGACTAATTATCAGGATCTCTCTGACAGAAAACAACATCGACACTGTATGGTACTAGTAGCGGGAAAAAACAACAACACTGAAATGATCCTTCGGCTCAAAGAAAAGAAAGTCGGTTGGCACCTTTCAAGAGCACATGACCATAGATTTTGCTCAGGGGATGAAGCAACAATTCAATCACATCGCACCCCTAAAAGCATGTTCATGGTCCTATAACCCTCTAGACCTAAAATTAAGCAACTTGCCAACATTCATTTGTCATTATAACACTTAAAACCCAACTTCGTAATTACTCGTATGAAAACTGGCAACGGCGAGACACAGCGCGCACCTTTTGCGTGTCAGGCTTGAGCCGCATAGTGGCGTGGTCTGAGATCCGGACAGCGGCCATGGGGAAAAACCGCTAGAGACATGAAAGGTGACATGTCTGCACATGTATGCAACCACAGTTTCACACCCGTAATCTTTTTACGGATGGAAGACCACAGCTAAGCGCCCAGTCATCATCATCTCATCCAGTTGAGGCGCTTTCATGGCTTTTGTAAGCCCATCAGCAACCATTGTCGCGGTTGCGATCCACTTCACCTTGGTGGGGCCGCTCTCAGGAATTCCTTCGGCATAGGTCGGATTGCCGATGGATTCACCTTGAGCTCTCCAAACCTCTTGCCTTAGACCGGTCAGGTCAATGGCGAGGCGTTTGTCAGCCACTTCACCGCCTCCAGCGGTGCAAAGATGATCTGACAGACTCCTGCAATCTGTCAGCCACAAACACTTCGTGGCGTCGACGGCCAAGATGGCGTCCTTCTTGGAGTTGCCCTCACTCAGGTTCTTCACTGCGAACATCACATGCCGCAAATGCTCGGCCTCCTCTCTGCCAAGCTGAAGCGACATTGTTTCGGCTTGAAGGGTGGGTCGGCAGACCCTTTTGATGGTGTTGCTGTGCCACTCGAGGGGGTAGACAACCCCATTGCCAGTCTTCTCAAACTCTGCATCGGTCAGGAGGAGGACGCGGCCAGATTGGCTGCGATGCCCGGAGGGGTTTCCATTGACATCCTCAATGCTCTGACCGAATGAGGCGTCGGTCACACTGACAATGATGGCCTCTTCCAGCTTCATCGCCTTGCGGGCATAGAAAATCCCTTTGTCACGGTCTTGCATGGCGAAGTTCAGAAGCTTGTTGGCCTCGATGAGGTGGCGAACTTGTGCACGTTGTTGCACTGCTTGAAGTTGGTTGACTCGGAAGCAAATGTCGGGGCGGCAGATGCGTCCCAGCCAGCTCAGTGATCCGATCACGGATCGAAGTTGTGAGATCTCTGAAGGCTTCGCTGGCGCTGACAACTGCTTTCTCCTCTGTGGCTCAACGTAGATGGCCTTGGTGCGATCCAGCACACTGGGACATGTCACTCGGATGCCATCGGTGGACTGCTTGATGATGCGGCCACAGTACTTCATCTCATCATTTTCAACCAACCCAAACTTGAACTCCTTTTGCACTTCCAGCATAACTGCCTACATGTCTTCGAGACCGCACCATAGAAGGTCGTCAACATGACATCCCAGGAGCCCACTGATCGTGCCTCGAGGTCCAGGAAGGTAGTAGGCGGCTGTCTCGTAGGGCACAGGTGCAAGTCCCTTGGACAGCAGGACATCGCGCAAAGCTTTCCAGAAGCCGCGGGGAGCATCCCGCGTGCCATAGACACTCTTCCGTGCCACCAGCAAACTGCCAGGTTGCACTGCCGGATCTGGGATTCCACCCTTTGGGAGGGTGATGGCGAGCAGTCGAGTGATCCATGCTCCTTGTAGGAAGGCTGCACTGATATCTCCAGCACGTAGTGGTTCACCAAGTGCTGCAGCCCAACAAATGATCAAATTGATGAAGAGCTGACTTGCCGTTGGGGAATCTGTTCTCACGCCCTTGTTCTCTTCAAGGTCTCCTCTGACAACGAGGCGTGACTTGAAAACATCAGCTTCTCCTTCTTCAGCCTTGTTGGTGTCCACCCAGCGGCTCGGCAAAATCTCAACGTCAGGACGTTCTGCCTTGAAGTTGTCCACATCATTTGGCGGAATCACGTCCACAGCAGTGAACTGCATCCAGTTCCCTCACTCCTTGCGGCGGGCGCCGGTGAGCTTCTCTTGTACTTCAGGACTTTCACGATCATAGTTAAGCTCTCTCCCGGCTCCAGTTTGCTTCCTTCTTTTGTTCTGGAAGCGCTTAGCCACAAAGCAGTGGAAGTGGTGAGCTTCATGCTTGCTCATGAGTGCCATGCCATCCTCAGGGACCCTGACATTCTGAGCCTCTCGCGCTGGTGAACGTGAGCGTTCATGGACCGATGACCCGGATGGTCGAACTGGTAGTTCAGGTAGTCCAGGAGGTGGTCGGACAGGATGTCCATCCAGTTGGTCTAACGATCGGCGCATGGCATGCTGGAGCTGAGTCTCCGGGGGTACACCAGGCTGTTGAAGTGGTGTATCCGGAATGTGTTCTCCTTCAGGCTCTTCAGTTCCGGCACGGTTGAAGGGTGCAGGTTGTAGTGGTTCCACCATCTCGGCTTCAGGTGCTTCTTCCATCACAGTGGGTAGTTCAGCAGCATCAGGTGGCCCATGTGTGGGAGTGTACTCTTCATTCACATCATCGCCATCAGGCGCCGGTCCGGCCGAAGAGGGAATCTCCACATAGCCAGGTTGGTGTTCTCCATCATCATGTAGTGAGCCCAGCTGGTAGTCATCGGCGAACGGGTTGTGGTCATGCCTTCCATCAGTCATAGCTTCTCGGGCTCTCTTGCGGCTTGGACGTAGTTCCATGAGCTGTTTGGCATAGACCTCGGAAGCTGATGCCGGTCGTAGGGAGCCCTCTGGAGCTACAAGTGGAACTCCTCCATGGATGAGCCAGACTGCAGCTCTGCCATCCCGGCCAATGATTCGGCCTGGTCCATGCCAGCGTCCACGGCGGTGGAAGACGAGATCACCCTGCTGGTATGGTCCTCGGAGAGGTGTGGACTTCCGAAGCAAGGCTGCACGGATGCGGCGACTCGCATCCACCTTGGTGAAGGCAGCTTTGGCAGCCTGTCGTACTTGAAGTCGGACGCCAAATTCTTCTTCCGGTTCCAGGATGTTGTCGTGAATGCCCAGGTACCTGCCCTCAGACTCTTCAGCGGTCAACGAGGTCACGTCCACTGGCAGCTTGCCGAGCACCCATTGATATGGCGTGAAGCCATAGTGGTTGAGCTTCATGTTCTTCACCACACAGGTCTCCCCAATGAGGGTCTTCACCTGATTCGTTCCAATGACCTGTCGTTCTTCCATGGCAGCATAGAGAAGCTCCTTAAAGAGACCACCTTGTCGCTCTCCACGGCCAAGCTGGAATGGTGCCTCAACTCCAGTGTACCTGAGAATGATGCCGTGGATGCGCAGCAAATCCTTCATGCGGCCTTGATTGTGCATGCCGCGGTCGCATACCACAGAGTGTGGAGGGCCGTAGGCCATGATCCAGCCATTGAGAAATACCTCAGCACAGACAGATGACTTTGGAACTCCTCCACCGGCGACCCACCAGGCTTGGTGATACAGGGTGCCCAGATCAACAGCTGAGAGCACGGTGTGCCGATTGTTGGCTCCATCACGGACTTCAAAGCAGTCCAAACTCACCTCATGGTTGAACGTGGGTTTGCCAGGGATCTTCGTCACATTGGGCTTCTCAATCTTCATGTGTTTCCGGCAGCTCTCACAGGCAAAATGCTTGCAGGCTTCAATGACGGACGGTGAAGCACAAGCCGTCCTGAGAAGTTGCATCATGCCTGAGACCGGGCTGTGGCCGGTCATGTTGTGGAGTCGTCTCAGGGCCAGGCGAGTTGGTCTTGGAATCTTCAACCAACGGCCACGTCGATCTTGTTCACGAGCCATTTCTGCCGACTCAGTTGGCGGTGGTTGCTCTTCCATAAGTTCTTGCCGGTCCATCTCCTCTGGGCTCAGGCGATGAGGTCGTAGGTCTTGACGTGGTGCCATATCCTTCTCATCAACGAGGGAGTCAAGGAGGCCCATGTCCAACTCTGCATTGCGCTCTTGGATGTCCCCTGTATAGAAGCTGGCCACCATAGTGCGGTTGGACAGGTCGTCCAAGAAGCCGTCGAGCATAGCGCGGCAGAGTGGTTCTGGCCATTCTTGCGCACGTCGAGTGCGCTGACCGCCTTCCAAGACTTGGTGATCGTGTAGTTGATCACAGAGTTGGTTCAGCCGCTCCTTCACGGGTGCACTTGCAGTCAGGAAGCCAGTTGGCTTTTTGTGAAGTTGGCCATTATCCCAATCCCGGAGGCCAAATTGACATTGGTCGCACCGAATCAACTCCAGTGGCTCCAGCGACTCACCATCACAAAGTTCTTCTGCAAACAACTGCCGCATGCTGTAGGTGTCCCACAAAGCACTGGTCCATGGGTTCTCAACCAAAACTTTGCGGCCACGTTGAAGTCGCTGTCGGATGATCTTCCGAAGCCATTGCAAGAAGGGATGCCAGGACTCACGTTCTGCTGTGATGCGCTCCTTCAGGGACTGGCTCTTGCTCATGTTGAGGTTTGACCACGGTCCAAAGGGTCCACAAACAGGACTGAAGGTGATCACATAGGGATCCTTGTCGTTGATCTCTTGCTCGAGCATTGACCTCACAGAGGGTCGGAGGAGATCTGAGCCATCAAGACGTAGATCGACAGGAGCAGCAACCGACAAGCCCATATCCATGGCCAAGGTTGTGAGCACGGCTGCACCAGCGAAGATCTCCATGAGGAAGACACGACATCCTCGTGGTAGTGAGGTGCGACGCCGTTGTCCCCGGAGATAGGACCACATGCAAGTGTCCTTTTGCTCCAGTTCATAGATGTCATCCTTCAGCTGCTTCTTCTGGCCTTTGGTCAATGTCTTGACATTCTCCTTCTCCATGTCCAGATGGACTTCCAGTGAGCTGGTAGATGCGCTCGAGGACGGAGATGCCGTAGAGCTTGACAGAGATGATGGTGACGTTTCCTTCGTTGGCGACACTGACCCAGTGTTGTCATTCGCAAAGTCAAAGGTCTCTGGTGTCTCAAAGGCCTCCTCAGGAAGGTTCATCTTCTCATGGATCGTGTCGTCATTCTCACGATCTGCCAGTAGGGCTAGTTGAGACGGAAGGAGATGGAGTCCAAGTAGCCCATTCACCTCTGTCACCTTGATGTGGCCTCCAAAGAGCTTGCTGTAGACAGCACTGGCGTCTCCTGTCAGGTCAAGTTGCAGCTGTAGTCAGCGTTGGTCTCGAATTGACAAAAGGAGTGGTGCATCAGAGTTAGACAGCTCTGTGCTGTCCAAGGTGCCAACAGCAAAGGTGCCATGTGCATCCTCCAGCTCAAAGCAGACTTCAAGGCGTCGGATGCCTTGTGTGCTGACGTTGCCACTGATGCCCTTGATGCTGCAAGTCTCTTGCCGCACGGGGTAGTCGGAGATGTCCTGGTTCGTGGCCTTCATGTAGCGCTGCATCCAACGGTCTCCGTGACAGGTGCGGTTGCAGCCCGAATCAAGGATTGCGATCATCCATCCAGTTCTCACTGGCAGGGTTCTCCTCGCTGGAGTCGGTCTCAAAGGCCATATAGCCAGACTCGAAGTCTAGGTAACCGAGCGGGACATTCTCGAAGCGAAGCTTCTCCTTGAGATAGGTGACGAGGTCCTTCAAGCCTCCACCAGGGCCAACTTGCGACAAGCACCAACGAACATATTCTTGATCCTGCCAAGCATACCAGTAAGGTTGCCCTTTGTACTTGCCGAAGGTGATGAGCTTCTGTCCCCAGATGTTGAGCTGGTCTCTTTCGGGCGTAGTGCTCGAGATCGGTGGTGATCGTGCCATGGGTGACCTCATGGAATCCGAGCGCGATGCCCTTGGTGGTGTCTTGGGAGTTCTGCCGCCGGAGTGGCACTTGCCTCAGGCTGAGGGCTGAACAAGTTGATGTTCACGGCAGTGGCATCAATGATGCGACGCAGCTCTTCCAAACCCAGGGTTCCATTGTTCTCCTTGGCACGAATGGCCGCCACAATGACAGCCGAGCGGACGATCTCCTGGATGGTGTTCAAGTTGTATTGCTTGTTCTCCGTGACAGGCTGTCCAATGGCTCCCAGCAGGAAGTCACGATCTGCTGGTAGAGGAGGTCGGACGCCGGTGCCCGGGAAGGTCTTGTCGTCCCATCGTCCTTTGGTCACCTTGCCGCAGTCTAGGCAGGTGTTCCTCCAGTTGATGCCATTGGAGCCACGCCAGGTCACTCGATGGTGTCGGCAAAAGGCAGGTTTTTTGGTGTGACCTTCTGCGGACGGATTGAATGCCGAGACTCCGGTCTTCTTCTCACGCTGGATCACCTGGTTGCAGTCGAGACAGGTGACAATGCGGTAGTAGCCATTGGTGCCACGTGCGGTGGTTCTCTCGTGATGGCGCAAGTTTGGCTCCGGAGTGCTTGGAGCATTGGTCACATTGGTGTCCACAGAGCTTGGCGCTGCTTGAGATCCGGGTAGAGGAGGTAGTTCAGCAAATCCGGATTCTTCAACATCCATGTCTTGCAGCGTGCTCAAGACCTGGTCGACAACGGTCAATGGTACACTCAGCTGAGGCTGTGACATCGGGCCAGTGTTATCGGACAGCTCTGGTAGTTCATGATGCGCCGGATGAAGTGGTCCTCTGGCCTGGTCAAGTGCCGGTAAGGACTGTGGAGGTCCAGGCACGCTCAACATGAGTTCCAGGACTTGGTCAGCAGTCCAACCTCGATCAAACAGCGACTGCACCATCTGCTGAGTAGCTTCAGCGTTCCTCTGAGGAGTGCCCGGCATAGGCATGGGTGCCAAAGAGGTCGACGAGGTTGGTCCGGTCGATGCACGCGATGTAGGCCTCGGAGGGGTTGAGCCAACGTGCACGGCCATGTTGCAGATGTCCTCATTCTGGTCCTGGCTGACATTCTCATCCTCATGCATTGCGGAGTAGACCACTCGGGTCTTCGGAGAACCGCCCTTGCCTTTCTTTCCCTTCGAACTTGCCGATGTGGAGGTCGTCGATGGAGTGCCGAAGCGCTTGCCCTTTCCAGCTCCTTTAGGACATTCTTTGTCTCCCGACCAATGGCCTTTCTGGCCACACTTGCGACATTCTGTCTTGAGCTTCAACTGTTGGAGACGGGCACGCTTCTCTTGAAGGGATAGGCTGCCAGACACCTCAAAATGACGTTGCCCAGCAAAACCGCCATGTCCTTTGCCTTTGGCATGGCAGCGCACTGAGTAGGCCTCGTACTCCAGCTGCAAGGCCTCGGCAGCGAGAGCACAGGCTTCTTCACTTTCCAGGTCCAGGCCTTCTTCAACATACCAACCCATGTACTCCGTCATGAAGTGGTCCGCATCTTCGGTGACAGAGAAGTAGGTCTCGTCCTCATCATCACATTCAACGTCACCGAGATCTTCTGTGAATCCTGCAAGGGACTGTGACTGGACGTCCCATGGGGTGGCTGTCTCATCATCGTCAATGGCGGCATACGACCGTGAGTAGCCTTTTCCATTTCTTCCCTTCCAATCTCTCTTGTAGTCCTTGGCGAAGTGGTGGAAGGGCTTTCGATGATGTCCTTTCTCACGGTCTTGGATGCGGGGGTGCTGGTTCAAGAGCTCATTCGCGACCTTGTCCACGGTGAGTTTGCCGTGGAGCGTCGTTCTGATCATCAACTTCTGATCATCGGTCAGGCCGCTGTTCTGCAACATCTGCTCAGATAGGATGTTCTCACTCACCTGCAAGGAGTCGTCGAGCTGCTGCAGATAGCCCCACCAGGCACGCCGCCGCATCACGTACGACGACATGGCTTCTCCCGGCTGACGGGAAAGGATGCCTCCGTCCCGTGAGCCTGCCGCGTACAATTCGCGGGCTTCAAGGTCCTTGCGAGGCTTGAGGCTTCGCTCCAGCAGTGAGAGGAGCTGTTCATGACCTTCTTTCTTTCCAAGTTCTTCGATGTTGACCTGCTGGGCGATCTTGAATGCACTGCCTCGTAGGCCTTCTAGTAGTCGAAGTCCAAGTGGACCGATCTTCTTGATCTCAGCCGGGTCCATCAGAGCTTCTCGGGCCGCACGGGCCCTGACCCTGTACAGGTATTCCTGCAATGCCGAAGGGTCACCATTGAACCTTGGGATGCCGAACTTCCCCTCTGCGCTCGCATCCTCAAAGGCGTTGGAGAGAGTGGCGGATGCACCGCCGTCGTAGCGGAGGTTGTCCAGTAAAGCCATCGCTTCACTGGCGAGCAAAAACACGTGGTAGCAAAGCCGAAGGTCCGTGGAACGTACCAACAGCTCCGCTGCCAGTATGAAAACTGGCAACGGCGAGACACAGCGCGCACCTTTTGCGCGTCAGGCTTGAGCCGCATAGTGGCGTGGTCTGAGATCCGGACAGCGGCCATGGGGAAAAACCGCTAGAGACATGAAAGGTGACATGTCTGCACATGTATGCAACCACAGTTTCACACTCGCTTTCCACTACTTCTGCACACTCATTTGTTTCACTCTGCACACATCACAACCTGCCCATCGCCCGCGAAGGCGCGCGCGCGCGCTCGCGCGCTCGCTCCCAGCCATAGCGTGCGCGCTCTCTCCGCGCTCCCGGCCACGGCCACGGAACCCATCCACATCAACGTCTCCAGCGACAGCCGGCCGGCCAACAGGATGCCACAGGCCACAGCGACCACGGACACCGCACCTCGAACGGCACGAGTGGCGGTGCGGTGCCCGGAGAGCGCGGCCACAGGTTTGGTGGTTTGGGGTGGCACTGGCCCAGTGGACGTGTCTTTGTTCACGCACACAAAGGCTCATGGACCCTCCGTTCAGTAGGGGTCCGGACCCGAACCAATCCCTATGGTTTTGAGGGACCAAGGCCTGTTTGGAGCGTCTGGGCAGCGTGCATCTGGGTGCATCTGGCCCTCTAGCTCAACAGATTGAGATGTGAGATTTTGCTGAGACTGCGACTGCCGCTGTGGCAAAAGCCATCTCCATCCTTGCAACATGATGCCCCGTCTTGAAAGAGAGGTCATATTAAATATTAGTATTAATGTTATTAATACTGTATCACATCAGCATATCCATTGATTGGTCAAATGCACACAATTATGCAGTTACAAAAACACAAAAGAACAGCAATATTCATCAATCTACATCATCTTGAAGCGGCTCATCTCCTTGTTCCTTTTTACCGTATGTCATACACCATATACCCATGTGTTCCAAAAAAAAATTGAAAAAAAAAGAAAACGCCACACGATCAAGCGATCTAGTTCTCTCCACGCATCTCTCCTCTCCCAGCGATTCACTCCTTCAATTCATTGGAAAAGGTGGAATCGCCCGAGGCTTTTCGTTCGACCATGGTCGCACCGGCTTGACCGGACCTCGGGGCAGAAGACGGGTTCGGGACGCTCGGGGGAGGCGTCGCACCAGCGTGACCTTCCTTCGTGACCTTCTTGGAGTCCCTAATGTGACCCTTGTGCAGGCCTCATTAGGTGACCTCAAACCAGGATATCAAAAGGTCAAGTTGAAGAATCATAACCAAACATTAGACTTTTGGGGGCGGCTGGAAATCCCTTATGGCACAAAGAACGAGAGCCTCCGACCGTGACCAGTCCAAAAGCCCAATGTGGTGTCCATACACCAACGGACCGTCGATCCTGCATTTTGCCCACTGAATCTATGAGGCCCGGGGGGGACTGTCCTGGGGTTATTAAGTGAGTATCATCCAAGGGTCCCCTGCTTGACATGATGGACACAAAGTTTACGCAATGTTCGCAACGTGAGTCCATGTTCTCATGCATGTGTTGAAATGCACGGAGTCTCCAGTTTTGGTACTTGGAAGGGGTCATTTCGTGAGAAATCAGACCGGTCTCCGCGTGAAGCCTTCACTTCCATGATTGGCAATTGTTCGCTGCTTTTGTTCGTTGTTGTTGGCCGTTTCTGATCGCTCCAGGCCACACAGCAGGCACGCTCTTTGGAAAATGCGGAGCACTAAAAAGGCTTGAAACTCTCACCTGGTCGTCATATTCGTCATGATTCTTGGCTACCTGGAGTGTTGCTACCTCTCAATTTGTTTTTGTTGTGTCATTTTTGTCTACGTTTTGTTGTAGGAGCTTGCTGGAAGTGACCCCAACGCTGAACAAAAATCTGTTCCAGTGAACTCGAAAGCTGCGAGAAACCAAAGATCAACCGTGCTCACCGGCAAAGACCCATCAACGAGCCTCCCCATAAGAAAACATGTTTGTCATTTTCCCGTGGGCGCCCCAAGAAATGCCGGGCAGTTTCAGGGGAAGGAACCGGCTAGACGTATCAAGTGTGGAGCAAGTGCAGATGTGAAGCTGACTGACACACTGAAAGGACTTGGATGTTTTGAAATGGTGAAAATAACTGCAGTTCCAACAGCATGCGTCCACCTCGACTCGCATTGGTCAGAGCTTGCTCAAAAACATCTGTTGGAATCACAGCCCAAACTGGTCAAGCGCTTAAGCGCTCGGGTCTCCCAACGAGCGCTCAAACGCTCCTACACAGACCGGTGTCAACGCTGGCCCAAGTCGCATCAGTCACATTTCCGGTCCAGCTATCTAAGGTGATATCTAAGGTCCTTCGGTCCAACATGGTCCAGCCCGTCCGTGGCTTGCCTTCACCCCACCGAAGGTTTCTGGGGTGAAGGACAATGATTCAAACTTGAGCGGTTTGAATCTGTACCCACCCATCCACCCGGGAACAAACACTGCATGTTGTTAGACCATTCTGCTCTTCCCGACAAGTCTAACCACTAAGTGACAAAGGTCCACAGCAACCATCCCCATCTCGATCGCCATAGGGCCGTGCGTGGTGCGAGAAATCAACCATCCAGCATCATCCAGCGCCCTTTTCGACTCACTCACGCAGCAAGTTCTAGGATTCTAGGGAAATGGCTGAGAAGAAAAGAATCATCGATACGCATCAGGGAGCTGCAGGGACGTCCACTGGCGTCGCCAGTTCCCATCACCTGAGAGTCCTCAATCCGTTAAGGGGGGACGACTTTGGACGAGAGGACCTGGGACTGCTCAGATCTTCATCTCCTCATCTTTGCAAGCTATATACATCTCCTCATCTCCTTATCTCCTCCTTCCAAATCACTTCTCCATCGTCACCATGCAGGTCCCGCTGAGAAGTATTGCTCAGCTCGGACCTTGTACGGCCTCGTGGACTCTCTCGTCGTTCTCTGCTGAAAACCACCTTGCTGCGGCGATGCGGGCGATCGAGTCGCAGTTGATCATCCCATCATCCCAGCAAGACAAACGCGGAAAGTGGAAAGCAGCTTTCGAAGGACAATCCTCCCTCCTAATCATAAAGATAATAACGGCTTGGGCCCCTCAAATTGGTCAAAGCGTTCGTTTCAAAGTAGCTGGTCACACCTCAGGCCGTCGTGGCTCTAACTTTGGGTCCCCACACGAGTCCCTGGTCCCTCGTAAAGTTCGTCACTTTTGCATCCTCCTCCCCTCCCAAGTTCCACACAACCCGCACGTTCTCTGCCGAACCCTCCATTTGCAGGAAAAAGCCCCAAAGGCGATGAACACCGGACAAAAAGCGGAAGGTCAATTAGGACTACTACCAATTATCTTTACCATTAATGTCAATTAGGACTACTACATGGCTGGTTCAATGCAATCTTTACGCTTGGTCTCCCTGTCCAATTGACGCTTCTCGAACCTCCGGTCCGTTCTGTCAAACCGGTCTGGTCTCCCTGTCGGTCCGGTTCCGGTCCAGGGCCGAGGAACCCAAGACCTCCTTCAGGACATGGAAGCGCTGAAGCAAGGAACCTGTCGGCCCGAAGGCGCTGATGGGCTGTGATGGGCTGCATGGTGTGACCGGCAGAATGCAACAGGCTTCGGTCGGCAACAGGCTTCGGGGATGTATGTCTTAGCGTTTAGTTTAGTGCGTTTAGATGGTTCACATCTGATACAAGTAGTACTGGTTCCTCTTAATTACAGGCTCTAATTATCAGCCTCCTGTGATAGTATATAGAATTATATAGATGTATATAGAACCACTGGGTTTTGGCTTCAAAAGTAAAACCTTTCCAACATGCTGATGCGCTCCACATCTGCACAGGCGAAGAAACCAGCGACTACCCCAGCACTTTCGACCCCCGAACAGATCCAGCGACTACCCCCAGACGGCTTGGACGGGTTTTACCGGTTCACACCGGTTCAGACAGCAACGGCTGCGGTTCACACCGAACCGGCCCGACCTTGGACGGATGGAGGACGGATCGAGGTTTCACCGCCTTCGGTCCATGATTTCACCTCTTCTTTCAGAGGAGGCAGCTGGCTGCGGACATGATGCACCACCTGACATGGGGGAGGCGGGGAGGCGGGCGGGGAGATGTTGGGATGCACCAGAATGAAGGGTGCATTTCTGCTGATCTGATCGGTGGCTCCAGGGGATTAAGAGGGTTAAGAGTTAAGAAAGACATGATTGCCTGGTCGACTTCAGCCGGATTTGATCTACAGAGAAGAACACTGGCAAGAAGGTGGATTTCAAAGGGATGTATGTTGCATTGATATAACTCGATATAGAGTCCTACCTCTCACTTTGACTCCAGAAAAGACGTGTCCATCCTATATAAGTCGCACAACTCATCCCTTTCTCCATACTTGAAGGATCACGTGGGATAGTAAGTACTTACCCCAAATAGTGAAGTTACTATCCTGTGCTAAGTCAGGTTGTAAGTGGGTCTATGTTTGGTTATAAGTCTTCCATATAGGCCATGTGAGTTGTTCAACTTAGTAACTATTTACATCACAGTAGTATTTGCTGTTTTTAAATGATCAATTTATCAACGGATTAGTGCACTTAGAAGTGTTCAAAGCCTAACTGGTCTAACTAGTTAGCCTACTTAGAGGGTTCCTGTTATTTTTCTTTTATCAACGAAAGTGCTATCAAGAATGGCATTGATGTATACAGTTTCCCACCAAACGCAACAGAGTTTTTTTTTTTAGACCACCTATATCTCGCGTTCCAAGCATCGGCCAGGCCCTTTTTTCAGGTCACCAGCCGCTGGCTTTGCAGGCACCAGGGCATGGCTACTTCAGCCAAGGTGCCAGCCCCTTCCGCTGCAGCGCTTCGGGGAGGGTGGGGAAAACAAGGGTTTATGAGTGTCTGATCAGACAATATTGTTATATGCATGTGTTGTTCATGATATCTCGTTGTCATGTAAGTTGTTTTAAATCTATATATATTCATGAAATATGTATACTGTTGATGGCATCTCGTTGTCAGGGCAGTTTGCTCGACGACAGGGATGCCTATATAGTGGTTCCATATATATATATATATCATGATATATGAACTATCATGAAACGACATGATTCAGAGTGTCAGGCTTTGATCCCAACATGTCATGTGGAAGCGTGCTGGTGCATTTGTATAACGCCGTGCATTTTACAAATCAAGTTGGTGCGATCGATTTGACCTTGCCCGCCGTGATTGCCGCACGCGTTCACCATGGCCATTCCTGAGACCGTTGTTGGTGAAGTGAAGGCACTCATCCACAGTGCGACAGAGTCAGGGATGGCAAAGGCTGTGCATGGGGCTTCGCGTGTTCTTGAGACTGCCGGGTTCTTCTACAAGCTGAAGATTCACTCCAGGCACGTGGGATGTCACCCGCAAAACAGGGATGGATCTGGCATCAACAGCGTTGATGTTCACGAGTTGCTGGACGATGTCCTCACGACCGGCTTCGTCCTGGACCGAGTGAACGCTGTGGGTGTTGAGGTCTCCTCCGACAATGAGCTGCAGTGGAATGAGAGATTGGTGAAGAGTGCCAATGGGGCGTTGGGCACTATGGACACGTCTCAGCTCAAGGTGCTGAGCTTGAGTGGAAGTCACACCAACTTCGTGCGCCGCATCCTGGACCAAGAAGCAGCGCACAACACTTCAGAGATGGTGACCAGCAATGGCCAGCTCAGCAAGGAGATGCTGAAGAGAGTTGACCCGAACTTCCATCAGGCGGTGGAAGAAGGATACGAATGGAAGGTGCTTGCAAAGGCAGTGACGCTCCAAATCCCTGAGTTGTTGGGGCTTGTACAGCGGATGGGAAACGCCAATTTGAACCGTGCAGAGCATGAACTTCAGCTGCTTCGCCGACTGCACTCGATCCACGTCAATCAACAGAGCATGGGACTCCCTGTCGATTATCAGAGAGTACGCAAGCTGGCAGGTCAGGGCGTGAGTGGCCCAATTGTGAAATCCATGCCGCACCTCTATTCATTCATGCTCAAAGCTGGTGGAGGGGTCACTCCATGGTTGCTGATTGAGACAGAGAACTTCGTCCGGACCAACACGCCTTCCACGAAGATCTTGGGTCCTGAGATCTGGGCAGCTCTTTCTGTGGATGTGAAGGGGCCTTCTCAGTTCATCAGATTTCGACATGCAATGATCACTCGTCACATGTTAAACGTCGACGTAAATATATTATATATAACATGTTCAAATAAATATATATATATATATTTTTGTATAGTTTACATTATGATCTCCAATCGAAACCCAGGTGAAGATGGCATACGTCAAGGATCGGCTTCAGGTGTCTGACATCAAGAAAGCCCTAGGGAAAGACCTGCATGATGATGTCATGAAGGCTGAGTTCATCATGAACAAGTGGAGGAACCTGGTCATGGATGCAGGTCTTGACAAGAACGAGCATGGACTCAGCTTTGCCTTGAGCATGGGTGATATTGCTCTGGCTGCTCACACGTTGTCCATTCGACTCGCAGGCGAGAAGCAGTACCAGTCTCCTGAGGGATTGGCACATGACTTGTGCGCATGTCTTCAGGGAATGGGGCATGAAATCGAGAGCCCTTGGAGTCATGCCGAAGAAACCATTGACACGGCTTCAAAGAGCACAGAGAAAGCCTTCGACCCAGCTTTGCTTCTGCGTGAGGTGACTGAGGATGGAAAGATTAAGAACCCGGCGGCCGTGTTGTCCAGCGCTGGTTTTGAGATTGGATGCCATTTGAAGCGAAAGG